TCACAATCCTAACCGGCCCATCCAATTAACGTAGAAACTTACGACGGCTATAATATAAAATCCTAATTTATACTGTAATTAAAACCCTAGTTAGATGTATTTACCTAATTACCCTATTCACCATTAAATACTTAACAAATAATCTAATTGAACAAAATAATAATTAGTAAACCCAATTAAACCAAATAAGACACACATAAAATAAGACACACATAGAATAATTAAACCAATTACACTTAAACCATTAATGCCAATTAAATAATTAAAACACTAACAAATAATTCCAATCAAATAACTAAACCAATTACACTTAAACCATTAATGCTAATTAAATAATTAAAACATTAACAAGTAATTCCAATCAAATAACTAAAAATAAATATCATTTAAATAAATTAAATCACCACAAAAGAAAACAATTAAGCACCTAATAAAAAAAATAATGACACATAATCAAATAAAATGCACTTAAATAATAAATTAAATACCATTAAATACCAGGAATATCCTTTTTAAAATTAGGGGTATTACAGAAGCTATGTCTTCTCCTGAAGCTAATTTATGGAAAGAAGTCATAAATAGTGAAATTGAATCCATCATGCAAAATCATACTTGGGAGCTGGTGTATCTTCCTCCTGGTACTAAACCTTTAGGGTATAAGTGGATTTTCAAGAGGAAGATGAAGCCTGATGGTTCAATTGAAAAATATAAAGCCCGACTTGTTGCTAAGGGATACAGGCAAAAAGAAGACTTGGATTATTTTGATACATATTCACCAGTCACAAGAATAACATCCATTAGATTGTTACTAGCTATTGCAGCACTGCAAAACTTAGAAATACATCAAATGGATGTTAAGACTGCCTTCTTAAATGGTGAATTAGAAGAGGAAATCTATATGGAACAATTTGAAGGGTTTATAGTTCCAGGAAAAGAAAAGAAGGTGTGCAAACTTGTAAAATCCTTATATGGATTAAAACAAGCACCTAAACAATGGCATGAAAAATTTGACAAAGTGATGTTGTCAAATGGTTTTAAAATTAATGAGTGTGATAAATGTGTGTATGTGAAAAACACTCAAAATGGATATGTCATTGTGTGCCTATATGTGGATGATATGCTAATAATGGGTAGTAATGATGTTATAATCAAAACTACTAAAAAGATGTTGACCAAAAATTTTGATATGAAAGATTTAGGCATAGCTGATGTCATACTAGGAATTAAGATTTCTAGAACATCAGATGGTCTAGTATTATCTCAATCTCACTATATTGAGAAAATATTAGAAAAGTTTAATAAAGAGGATAGTAGTCTTGTAAAGACTCCTGTTGATGTAAATCTTCATTTATCGAAAAATACTGGTCCTAGCATATCACAACTTGAGTACTCTCGCATTATAGGAAGCTTAATGTATTTGACGAATTGCACACGACTAGACATAGCATACTTAGTTAATAAATTAAGTAGATATACTAGTAATCCAGGAAAGAACCATTGGACTGCAATAATCAGGGTTCTAAGGTATTTAAAATATACTATAAGTTATGGATTACATTATTCTAGATATCCAGCAGTACTTGAAGGATACAGTGATGCTAATTGGATATCAGATACAAGGGATTCTAAATCCACAAGTGGCTATGTCTTTACTATTGGAGGAGGTGCCATATCTTGGAAATCTTCAAAACAAACTTGTATTGCCAGATCCACTATGGAATCTTAATTTATTGCTTTCGATAAAGTTGGTGAAGAAGCTGAGTGGCTTCGTAATTTTTTAGAAGATATTCCAAATTGGCCTAAACCGGTGCCCGCTATATGTATACATTGTGATAGTCAATTAGCAATTGGAAGGGCACAAAGTAATATGTACAACGGTAAGTCTCGACATATACGTCGACGACATAATACCGTTAGACAATTACTCTCAAGTGGGATAATCTCAATAGATTATATTAGGTCAAAAGATAATTTAGCGGATCCATTTACAAAAGGTTTGACAAGAGAGTAAGTGTATAGTTCATCGAGGGGAATGTGATTAAAGTCGAAAGCTAACGAGTCATTGTAATGGAAACCCAACCTAGTTGACTGGAGATCCCAAGATCTAGGTTCAAAGGGACAACAGAAATTTTGAATGGCTCACCAGAAGCACTGGGAAGATTTAATCTTCTACCCATTTCTATGATGAGACAGTGTTACCTACAGCGATGAGTAGGATATGCTATGCTTTTAATGACTCTTATACCTTGAAAATTCAAGTGGGGTATGGTAGGATACTCTTAATAAGAAGTCACCTATATGAGTGTGAAGTGGGGCCGCTTCTATGAAAACTTCTAAGGCTAAGTTTTCTAAAGCTCTCATGAAATACCAGGCGTTGTTCAGGGCCATATGAACACAACCATGAGAATCGACTCTGTGCGTGAAGGAACTGTGTGTTTACTATTGTCTTGGTTTATATAAACGGCTGAACAGTTCAAGACATCATGTTCACTGGTTAGCCAGTAAATCCGATAGTAATACACTAGGGAAGGTTCAAGGCCAAAGGCTACCTATCCCGATGCAGTAACTTTCCAACAGTACTCTCTATAGTGTCTGTATCTTCTCCTTTTGTAATCTGAACAAATTTTCATTCATGTTGGGGATTTTTGGAAACGGCATTAGAAAACGCAAACTTTGGAAGGATTTTTAAAAGATTCCACTAAGAATTTTTTGCGAATCTATTGACGAATGCGTTCCTCTCTGCGAGGAGATGAACGTGGTATATTTATTTTTCTCAAATCCGTTTCTGGGTGAATGAGAAATTGGCTCCAAAGTAAGTGATTTATAAAGCCTAAATGGGTGTGAATAAAGTGGGAAATGCTTGTCCCACATCGAAAAAGTAGCAAAACAACCTTGAGTATATATATGTCTAGTATGGGATTTGGGTTTGGGCCCAAGGGCACCCAAGTTTTTAAGAGGGGGAGGACCTAGGCTAGCCTAGATCCGAACCAACTACCACACACGCGCGCGCCGCCCGCCCGACCCGACCCGGTCCGGGCTAGGGCGGGGCTTGATTGTGAAATGGGTTTAACTTTTTACACAAAGTTGGGATGGGCCCGTGTGGTTGAATTTTATTTTGTTGCTGGACTTATCAAAATGGGCCTGTTTACTGGGCTGAATTAATGACCGCCGAGTTGGATTGTTTGCTTGCTGGATTGGACGAAATTAAAGGGCTGGGCTGGATCAGAATTAAAATGGTTTGGGTTTATTTAAACCATAAATCAGTTTTATTTTTGAACCAAGGGTTGCACCTTTTACAAATTAAAAACCACCAACAGCACCCATTCGGACTATGGGTGCACCCATTCAGAATAGGCACCAACAAGCCTATAAATACCCATCATTGGGTTCATTTCAATACACACCAATTCGGAAATCTTCTTCTCTTCTTCTGATTCATCTTTGTTCGGTTCAGCCACTGGTTTGGGTTCAACCTAAACTGGTTTGGATTGGGTTCGAACCTTGGTTTCCAAGTTTGGGTTCAATCTTGGTCTCTGAGTTAGGGTTCAATCCTGGTCTCCGAGTCTGAGTTCAACTGAGAGTACTACACCGAGCCGGTTCGCCTATTCCATTGGTTTGAAGTGCTACTACCAAAGGAAGAAAAGTCGTTGTATCCTGGGAGATAGACGCCGAAGAGTCCGTTAGCAACGTAGCGGGGCGTATCTGTCTTAAGGCTATAGAATTAAATTCTAACCTCGACTTTAACAGGTTCTTTTATTTTATAGTTTTATTTTCTTGATATTAAACTATATAAATATATATAGATTATTATAATAAATATTATATTTACAAATAATATTTAAATAAATTATACTATAGTATATGATACATTTTTGATCCACACCTCCACCATCGTTACCGCCTTTCATCACTGCCACCGTCACCGCCGCCGCCTTCTACCACCATTACCTGCATCACTATTTCCTTCCACCACCATCACCATATTATTGCTACTGTCGCTTTCCACCTCCACAACCATTGCCACCACCGCCACTACTACCATTTATTTTTAAAAAAATTATACTAGAATGTCATTTTGTTAATTTAATTTATTTGTTACTTAGAGGGATATTTTGGAAAACTCAATTTGAAATTTATTCCATTCTAAATTTTAAATTGATCATACTAAACATTATAATGGTTATTATGATTTCATCTCTACACATTCAATATTTATAATTAAATAATAGAATGTGAACGATCATTTATTCCATTCCATTCCTATTTTCATTCTATTTCCACTTGTATTTTATTTCATTTCATTCTTACATACACTAAACGCAGCATTATGGAATGATCAAACTAATTGGTTGATTTATAAATATAGAATTTAGATGGATACGCTCCATTGGCAATTCTTGAATTTTTAAGTTTTTGATAAATTAAAAAAATGTAGCTAAGAAAACTTCCAAAATTCATAGCTCATCGGCTGTCCCTTGGACCCTAGTTTTTACGTTCTTGAGTCTTCACTCTCGCAAGGAATAGTATGAGAAAATTAAAGATGAAAATGGGTAACGGCGGTCAATGTGTTTAGTGTTTGATTACGATTTAGAAGTCCCTCTTTCCTTGTCATTAAATAAAAAATAATAGTAAAACAAAAAAGTATGACTTTGACGGTTCCATTCATACAACATTGACAATCAAATAAATTGCAAGCAATGGATATCTTCCACGTCACACAACTTTGACGATTTGAACCGCATCTCCCCCACTCGTAGCGATACTCACTTCCTCCCTCTTACACGCGCAAAAGTAGCGAGAACCACGCGCAGTCAAAATCCCCATAACAGCAATAGTAATAGTAATAGCAATATTTCTTGATTTGAGTTCACCACAGTCACCCACCGCTTCACGTACTTAAAATTCATGTACTCGCTGTATTCGCTTGACACGTTTTTGTGTATAAAAGGATTTTGGTCTGGTCAAAGTTGTGCGCACAAAGCATCCCTTTCTACACATGTCACCGTATTAGCGATTGCCCTTTTTCGGCGAATAACGTTAGAATTTCTCCGCTTCGCTCTTCTTCGGCTTTCTTCTTCGTCTCTCTTTTCATCTTCCACGATCTGTTATTTCTTCTAAGATTATATTAGATTAGATTAGAAGGAGAGAGTATTGATTTCTCTCTATATCTATCTCTATATCTGTATAGTTAGTATATCACTGTAATTGGATTCGTCTAAAATGAAGTCGTCTTTTGGGAAGCTGCGAAAATTTGCACTCCACAAAGGCGATGCCAAGCAAAAGAAAGAGTATCAAGGTTCCACGATTTACGATGAGCTCGTTCAAGCTTCCGAGGTACTCTATTATTTGCGTCGAACTACTTAGGTGTTTTCTTTTGTTCTAATTCTTGTAAATATTTATTTACTCTGGAACAAGGATTTATAAAATCACCTTCAATTCAATTAGGGTCGTTTAGTCAATTAGTTTATCATAACTTTATTTACACTATATTTTCGACTTTTTGTTATTGTAATGTAATTCATTATAAATCATCTAAATCAAAAGATATGAATCTGGGTCATTGCAGCTAAATCATCTAAATCAAAGGGTATGAATCTGGGGCATTGCAGCTGCCTTAACTAGTATGAATGATTCGAACCAAGTGTTTCACGCAGCAACTGCTATACACAACTGCTTTCTACAACAACAACCAAGCCGCCCTTTTCCCAATTAATTAGGGTTGGCTACATGAATCTCATATTTCCATTTGGCTATTTTCAAGGCCATAGTCTCAATCAATTCACATGCTATCATAATTTTTTACTAATTCTACCCAAGTTAACTTTGATCTTCCTCTTTCCCCTAATATTATCCCTAATGTGAACTATGTCACTTTTGCTAACTAGTGGACTTAAAATGTCTTCTTTATCCATGTCCAAACCATCCTAACCGATTTTTTTTCTGATTTTATCTACTATTGGTGCTACTTCAACCATCTCCCGACTTTGATCATTTCTAATTCTCTTGTTTATAGTCTACCACACATTCATCTCACCATTCGCATTTCTGCCACACTCACTTTATGCAAATGTTATTTCTTAGTTGCCCAACATTTGTTATGATAAAGTATGGTTGGTCTAATAGCTATTAGATGGAACTCCCCTCTCAATCGTTAGGGAATTCGCCTATTACATAATACACAACTGCTATCTGATTGCCAAATTAAAAATTTCAACCATTTCTCACTTTGATAGGGATTTAATACATATTTGAAGACACACACACACACACACACACACACATACAACTTATTTAATTTACATAATGTGTGATTTTCTTTTTTAAAAAGTGATAGGATAGTTAAGATAATAGGATCACTGTATTGCTGTAGAACTGGAGGGGAAAAAAGTGCATGCCGAGCATAAAAGAGCTTTCAGAACCCCAAGTCCAAATTTTAACATCTTTATATTATTAAGTGGTGCATGGCAGTAGCAATAAGCTGGTGTCCGGCAGCTGTAGGAGTGCAAAACCACGAAGGAAAGGTATTTCCAGCAATAAACAAGCAGAAAAACAGAGAGATAAGCAACAAAATTGAAGTTGGAACGTAGATAGGTGAGTTCTAGGGCAAAGAAACCCGAGAGAAACTCTAAATCTGATTTTCTGGAATTAAAAAAAAAACTAACTGCATACAAAGTCTCTTAATAGACTATTTATATTAGGGTTACAGAAGCCCTAGCATCCTAGCCCTTGATTACTTCAATAACTAGTAAATCCTAACCCTCCAAAATACTTAAAAACTCACATGACAGTCACATGATTATTTAAAAAGACTAGGACTGTAACTATCATCTACCAAATAACATAAAACATAAAAATCAAATAAGACACATACAAACCCGGTTGGGAAAAACTCGATTCTGACCAGAGAGCCTTCACAACTTCAGCATATATTTTTGGATCAATTCTTTTCATCTCTTCTTCAGCAATACATGTACTGGCACTAGCAGGTTTACCCAACCATTTCACTAGAAACCACATATACTGGTTGCCCCTCCTTGATTTCGGCTCTTTAACATCGACTACATCTTCGACAAAATCTGGTTGCACTTTGGGAAAGTACTTAGAGTTGTGCCTCTGAAGAAACTGGTTCCCATCAAATCCTTCAAACGAATACAAATCAGACACATTGAAGATTGGGCTTATTTGGAGCTCAGGTGGCAACTCTATAGTCTATATTGTACGCATTTGAGCTAATTTTCTTCAGCACCTTGCATGGCCCAAACTTCTTTGACTTCAGTTTATGGTAACTGCGTTTTGGGAATCTGTCTCGCCTCAAATGCACCAAAACCATGTCACCCTCGTCAAAATCCTTGACTTTCCGGTGTTGATTGGCTGTTGTTGCATAGGATTCATTACTAGCCTTTATTGCTGCCCTTACTTCTTCGTGCACTCCTTTGATGTGATATGCAAGTGCCTCTCCAGCATCACTCACTTTTACCTCTTGTGGTAGTGGAACTAGATCAAGAACATGCTGAGGTTTTTGTCCATAAGCAGCTTCAAAGGGTGTCTTCTTTGTCAATCTATTCATGGAATTATTTTATGCAAATTCAGCTTGCAAACCATGAGCTGAAACAATAAAGCCAAGAAACACAACTTTGTCGCACAAAAAAGAGCACTTTTTAAAGTTTACATACAGCTTCTCCTTACGGAGAAACTCCATGACTTGGTGCAAGTGGACTAAATGCTCTTTACTTGTATGACTATATATTAGTATGTCATCAAAATAATAAACCACAAATGAGCCCAAGAAAGGTTTAAGTACCCCTGTCATAATTCGCATAAATGTGCTAGGAGCATTGGATAGTCCGAATGGCATCACTAACCACTCGTAAAGTCCATTTGGAGTTTTGAAGGCTGTCTTCCATTCATCACCACTCCTCATAGGAATCTAATGATACCCGTTTCTCAAGTCTATTTTGGAGAACACCTTGGACCCCACTAACATATCAAGCATATCCTCTAATCGAGGGATAGGAAACTGGTATTTTATTGTAATTTTGTTGATGGCACGACTATCCACACACATCCTCCATGATCCATCTTTTTTTGGTGTTAGCAATGCTGGAATAGCGCATGGACTCTTGCTCTAACGCACAAAACCCTTAACAATCAAGTCTTCCATTTGCCTTTGAATTTCAGCTCGTTGTGCGGGTGGCATTCTATGAGCAGGAAGATTTGGTAAAGCTACACCAGGCACCAAGTCAATAATATGCTGAATACTCCTCATGGTGGCAAGCCTTGTGGTAAATCATCACCAACAAGGTCTTGGAACTCCATCAGTATATGCTGAATTTCAATTGGATGCTCATCAAATTTTAAAGGCTGGTCCTCTTGTACTTTCTTAGCAACAAGCGCATGCATAACTCCCACTTCCTTGCTCTCAAGTTCAAACTCGTGGGCTGTCAAAAAACCCATTAACTTTGGCAGCCTAAGGAGTGTCGGTGATTTGTTCTTTAAGTGGCTGCAAAGTCAACTTTTTCCCATCTTTATGAAATGAGTAGGTGTTGGCTCTAGTATGATGGATCATGTCTTTGTCAAACAACCATGGCCTTCCTAATAAGACATGACAGGCATCCATACGAGCAATATCACACCAAGCTTCATCGTTAAGTGTATTACCAGTGAATTTAACCAAACACTGTGAAGTGACCGGCACCTCGTTCCCCTTTCGGAACCATGCAACCTTGTAGGGATTAGGATGCTTCTCAGTTTGTAACTTGAGTTTGTCTACCGCCTCATGCGAATTAATGTTTTCACTATTTCCTCCATCAAGAATCATGTTACACACCTTTCCACCACAAAGGACTCGGGTCCGGAATATATTGTGTCGTCTCCGGTCTTCTTTCTCGACTTTGGGTGTCTCATCACTCGTCTCACGATCAAAGTTTCTCCTTCTACCGGAAAAAGATCAATAACTTCCTCTCCGTTGTCATACTCATCAAATACTGGTTCACGTAATTTTGTTTCTTCATCTTCAAACTCGGCTAAGTTCACCCTTCGTTGTGGACAAGCGTAAGACGTGTGCCCCTTCTGTCCACAAGTGAAACAACGAACTTGTGAAGTGCTGCCACCCTTTGAATTGCTTACACCAGCACAGTTTTGTGGTCCGAATCTTAATATTTCCTTCCCCTTTTCACTCCTATCAGCACCCCCAATGTTTCTACCTCCTGCTTGGGCACTTGGGATAGCACCTTGAGCACTTCGAACACCTCCAACAGCAGCTGTACTCCTCTGCCAAATAATATCTGGGCGTCCAGAAAAAACTCTCCTGCCGCCACGATGCATCACTCTTCTTTCCGCCATTAAGGCATATTGTCGAGCATCTTCTAGCCCCATCTCATCTCTAATGGACCGATGCAAACCAGAGAGATAACGAGATGTCAATTGTTCGTTACTCGTTTAAACCAACTCGAATCGTGAGATTGTTGAACTCAGATGTATATTCTTCAATGGACATGTCTTATTGTTACAAACTATGAAACATTTCATAAACTCCATTGAATAATCAGCAGGCAGAAACTGCTTTCGCAATTTTGATTTCATATGTTCCCATGTGTTGATTTTTTGCTTCCCTTGCTGTTCTTCAACTCTCTTCCACCATTGAAGTGCAGTACTCTTCAACTTGAGCCTTACAAACAATACCTTTCTATCTTCTGCCATAGGCTTCCACTCAAAGTAAATCTCCAAGCTTGCCTCCCAATCTAAATAATCTTCGGCGTGCATCTTTCAATAGAAGTCAGCAACTTCAATTTTAATTCCTCCACCATTCAAATCCAACGCACGAATCAACCTCTCTTCCAATCCGTCGCGATCCAGATTTTATGGATTTCTAGCATTATTAAAGGGTTTTCCTTTTCTTTGTCAAAATATTCATCCTCAAGACTACCTTCCGGTACATCCAATGGGCCGCGGTTGCCTTCCGGAATCTCCATACGGGCTTCTGCACGTTCCTTTCATTGAAGAGCTTGCACTGCTCTTGACAAATCTTCAATCATACGCCGCATCTCAGCCATCTCTGTTTGTTGGGCTTGGTTTCCTCTTCCACGACCTCTACCACGTCCAACCATGGTGTAGTCCTAGGCTTTTTCTTCGGCTCTGATACCAATTTGGTTCAGGCCAGTAGCAATAAGCTGCTGTCCGGCAACTGTAGCAGTGCAAAACCACGAAGGAAAGGGATTTCCAGCAATAAACAAGCTGAAAAACAGAGAGATAAACAACAGAATTGAAGTTGGAACGTACATAGGCGAGTTCGAGGGCAAAGAAACCCGAGAGAAATTCTAAATCTGATTTTCTGGAATAAAAAAAACTGCATACAAAGTCTCTTAATAGACTATTTATACTAGGGTTACAGCAGCTTTATCATCCTAGCCCTTGATTACTTCAATAACTAATAAATCCTAACGGTCCAAAATACTTAAAAATTCACATGACAGTCACATGACTATTTAAAAAGACTGACTGCAACTATCATCTACCAAATAACATAAAACATAAAAATTGAATAAGACATATACAAAATAAGCAAATAACTAAAATTCTAAGATAACTAGAACCCAAGCCCAGTTGGCTAGCAGGCCCGATTAGTCTTGGAAAGCCTTGTAGATGCTCCTGCATCATTAAGGTAATGCATGCACTAAAGAGGATCATAGAGAGTACACAACATCCCTTTTACAAAAGAGAAATAACATTTGCATTGGAGGCTGTAAAAGAAGATAAAATGAATGGGATACCACAAGCCTTAGCCACATTGTTGCCACTCCAAATCTGTTGCTCTTATTTCCCCCACTGCCACTACGACAAGCTTGAGTATTTATTTCATGTTCTACATTTTGTCTTGTTTTTAAGTCCGCATGCTTGTTAATTTATGGGCAAACTTGCAAAGTATTAGGTGTTGATACTTAACAATGACCTAGAGTTAAGTGTTCTGCAGCTCCCAAAATTTCCTATATGTTGCTGTTATTTATATATTAGCAATGGGAATGAATCTTTCCCTAGATTGTAAGGGAACACAAAGGCGCGAGGATACATCAGCATGCTAGAACTAATTCATTCCTGAATGTCCCACTTAGTGGTAATCATATGAATGTACCTATATTCTCAGTTGTCATAGTCCTCATTGGGGGATCACATGTAAAGAATGGACTTGTCAGAATCATTTCTTGGACTTACCCTTTTACTCTTTAACTTTGCTCATAAATACCCCAAGCTGAAAAAAAAAAATATCACAGAGATGATAAAATTGTTTATGAATATGTGGTAGGCCATTATAATGGTGACAATTGAACGCTGTTTTACCAGCAGCGTCCTCTTAAAACACTTATCTCCCTGTATATTTTTATATCTCCTTTATGAGTCTTTACCAGCATTCTCTTCATTATTCACATTTTTTTCTCCCTTGTGTTGTAAAGAAGAGGCTTGAAAGTTGAACCTCACCCTCCCTCAAAGTAGTTGGAACTTGAAACCAAGGCTGTTGAGTTAAATTGAACTATGATTTTGCGTAATTATCAAAAGCAGTCATCTCATTTTCCTCGATGTGATTGAATAATCTGCTTAGAAAGGTTAACCCATGCCAATCAAGAGATATACAAAATAATTTACTGGTTCTCAAATGTAATTTAAATTTACTCATAAAATGCATGTATTAAGAAGATTGTAGAAAGTTCAAAGCAATATCTCTTACAAAAGAGGAGTAATTCATTCACTGGAGCAATATGAAAGAAGAGAAATGCTTGATGTATCTGATACCCTCCACATGTTGTTGCATTGTTGGCAACACTATCTTTCTTATCGCCATTGCCGCAGGCCTTTGGTGCCATCTACACAGGCTATCTTTACTCTCAATTATGTATGAAAACTTTGTAGTTTCATTCTATTCACTCTTGCTTTTCCTCTGCAGTTCTCCTGGAAAACCTTATGATTTCATTTATTTCCCTCTTTTTACAGGATATGCAAAGCATGAGAAATTGTTACGATAGCTTACTTTCTGCAGCTGCTGCCACAGCAAATAGTGCATATGGTACTTATGGACTGAATTTATATCTAAAGTCATTTTCTTGCCTTCACATAACTATCAAACTAGGAATGGTGCAAAAGTTCTCTTAAAATGCCATTTCAGTAATGTTTTAACTTTATGTAACAATATATAAATCTTTTAGTTATCTGCATTTTCAGAATTTTCGGAGTCATTGAGGGATATGGGTGCCTGTCTAGGGGAGAAAACTGCATTTGATGATGATGAAGAAAGTGGTAAGTTATTGCTTGGAAGAAATAAATAGTGAAATCGGCATAGTTTGTATAGTTTTGACTGGAGTTGACTTAAAAGCAGAACTTTGGATACTTGAAAACGAAAAGTATGGCAAATTATTATACAATAGATATTTTATAATGTTATACACTATATTTATATTATATTATACGTAAATACTAATTATATATTTTATTACATATAATATATATTATTTAACGCTTTTAATTTATTATAATAATTATATGTTAAATATATCACATTTTAATGTTACACATAATGTATGTATGTGTATAAATACAAATGTTTGGTGATGGTGTTTTGTCTTAGTATATCTTATTTTGATTCTCTGATGGAATGGAATGCTCATTCATTTACCCTGGAAGAGGAATGGTCATTACAACATTTCCATTAAACGTGGATAGAGTTAGTAAGGAAGGATATGATAGCATGCGGTTTAAGAGATAGTATGGCCTTGGAGTGAATTGGAAAAATCTATTCATGTAGCTGATCCCAAGTAGCTAGAAAAAAGGTTTTGTTGAGTTGAGTTGAGTTGAAGTAGAATTGCCTGAACTTTCCATTTGTGTTGTGCTAAAGTTAAGAATTTATTAGGCAAATCACTCTTATGCTTGGCTTCATTAACAACGGTACCATTTCTCTCTTTGCTTCGTGTCCAATTGTTGCCAGATTTAGTAAACTTCTGCTTAAACTAGAGAAACGAGCATTTTTAGTATTGTAATAATTTTTGTTTTGTTTTTTGAATTTCAAGAAATATATAATTTATGCTGTACTTGCCCTTTATATATGTAGGCAGAGTATTATCAATGCTGGGGAAAGTGCAGTTCGAGCTCCAGAAACTTGTTGATAGCTATGTGAGTGCTTGTTGCTATGTTGTATGCTGCAGCACACTTTGTGGTATCACTTTATGATGTTTACTTCAACATAGTAATGACCTGCTGCTTTCCCATCTCAGCGCTCTCATATAATCTCAACAATTACAACCCCATCAGAGTCTCTTCTCAATGAACTTCGGACAGTGGAGGTTGGTCCATGTGGATTCTGTTACTATTGTTGTGGTTATTTTCGTTATCCATATTACCTCTTATTCCTTTATATTGCCTTCTCCAAGTGAGTTGCACCAAATTGAATCTCTTTGTTTCTTGATATATCTGAGCTTTTGTCATTGTTTACAACATGCCTAATGCGTAGTTGCATAGCACATACATTTCACTGAAATAAACTTCATCTCACCTCTCGAAAACTATCTTTGTGTAAAGTCCTTATGTTTCGAACATTAAATCTATGTAGAGGATATAGTTGTTTAGACAATTTTATTCAGTGAATTGTACTAAGATAGATCTCTGCCTATATTGTGTTCAGTGTATGATCTTTCACTCCGCCTGTACCAAAGCTTGGAGAGGAGCTGAGACTAGACTCATAAAAAAAACTCATTTAGGCTCCTTCACCAATCGAACATACCAAATTCAGCCTTATTTTTCAAGCTTATTACTCAATACGTCAATCTTGATCATAGCCAGCTTCATCAAAAATTGGTTTGTGAACAGTTGAAGGTGGCATCATATAGTTCCTGGAACATAATCTTGAGCAGCTTATCCAAATAAAAACCTTTAGAAAAAATGTTGACTGTCAATATATGTACAATCTTTTAGGCATGACATAAGGATTAAAGTATATGAAAAGGGTGCTGGATTAGGCTTACAAACAGGTTTGCTATGCCCACAAGCTTGATCTTAGTCAAACCTAAATATTTTAAGGTTAAACAGGGAGTTGAACTTGACAGAGCTTGAGTTCAATTCAAGCTTGATCTAGTTACAACTAAGCCAAGACTGAACAGCCAATACTGGGCTTATTTGCAACTATAATGTTCTATTTTTTAAAATATAAATATAGTTCTCTTTCTTGTGATATTAATAATAAATCATGAAGATAGGAGAAGAAAAAACAGCAAATAAAAAAACTGCTTCCTGTAAATAAATTAATAGAGTTCTTATTTAACAACTTGACATGTACCATAATTTTCTGAGGGGTGAGACATTGCATTAAACATGGCATGTTCATACATACACAATCACTTGTTGTGTTTATGCATGCATATTCAGGCAAATGCTGCATAGAAGTGTAAATTTTATATTGGTGCTCTGTTAATCTTGACCCTTGCCAACAGTCTAGACAATAATATCCAAGCGAGCCCTTGATGTAGTGCTGCCTTGTAAGTGCTTCAATGGCATTTGTGATAATAATCAATTACAGGTGCACCCAGCTGATTTAATTGATAAAAATGAATTTCTTGTAAATTTGCGCCCTATTAATTTTCGTTATGTGATGCGTGGGCTTTATCCTTAGCTGGGAAGGCCCATCAGGTTGGTGTCTGATAGATGCCATTGTTACTCTGGCATTTTATTTTCACAGCATCATAATGTAAATTATGCTCATATTGCTTTATCTTGTTTGCTGGTGCAGGAGATGAAAAGGCAGTGCGATGAGAAAAGGTACACAACATTTTAGTTTATCAAGTTTCGTTGATTGAGGCAATATATTTATTGCTTGGTTGTACAATCTTCAGAAATTTATATGAATATGATGGCACAAGCTGCACAAACAGTATAGATCACTTCTGCATCTAAGTTTCTTTGATTGAAGTATTATTTATTCATTAGTCAAACAATCTTCAGAAATGTATACAAATACATGATGGCACAGCAGCGAGAAAAAGGATGGTTAAAAAGCGGAAAAGGGGAAAGTTTTACTCAGCAGCAATTACAAGCAGCGCGTGATGAGTATGATGATGAGGCAACTCTATGCGTTTTTCGATTGAAATCTCTTAAGCAAGGGCAGTGCCACAGTCTCTTAACTCAGGCAGCTCGTCATCATGCAGCTCAGGTGTTTCTTTTATCTTCCCCTAAGTTCAAATGTCATTTTTTTTTTTTTTTAATGACGTGAATAATTGTTTATTTGCCTTCTCCCTTTTGTTCTTCCATGAAAGCAGTTGAATTTCTTCCGCAAGGGACTTCAATATCTTGAAGCAGTTGAGCCACACATAAAACTGGTAACAGAAAAGCAGCACATTGATTACCAACTAAGTGGACTTGATGACGGGGAAGGTGGGGAGGATGAAGGTGTGAATAGCTATGGGACTACTGATGACGGGGAATTGAGTTTTGATTATAGACAAAATAAGCAGGGGCTTGATGCTGTTTCTATATCAAGGAATTCAATGGAGGTAAGTTCATTCTACAGAGAAACATGATATGCCAAGTTTCCTTTCATATATGCCAAGACAAAGCTCTGAATTTCTTTTTTGTGTTTTTTTATATGAAGTGGTTGCATTAAGATGCATCCGTTAGTTTATTAATATGTTCCTAATATTACACCACACGCACGAATTTCTGTACCTGAAACTTTTTAAAGACCAGTTCTTTTAAAAATATTTCCAATGTGCTAGCATATGCATATCATATGATCATCATAGCCTAATTTTTCTGACTCATTTTCTGAATACGTAGATCTGTTAATGTTTAATCAGAATTTGAAGTTAGACTGCCTAAAACTTACAGCTGGAGTGATTATGCTTTTCACGTTGGCGAAAGATAAACAAATTTATACTCTGGGGCATCCTGGATATCCTATTGTTTATTTAGTCCACGACACATTTAACACTAGAAAAGACTCCGTGTTTGGTATGTTAATGATTTACAGCTTGTTTCTAAACTGTTGTTAACTTATATATTTAATTTATCAACACACTCTTTCATGTGCGAGCTAACTTCCTCTCATAAGTGCCTAAACACATGAATGTGTTATAGTTACTAGGGGGATACTTACCCCAACACACACGCACACAAATAATAAAAATAATGATATATTAACCTTCAAAAGCACTCTCACACTCCACAATTGTCCCCAAAAGGACCCTTACATTCCAGTGTTGAGGGATAACGTGTCATTTTTTCATTAGATGGTCAAATAACGTGTAATAGTACTTTTGTGGCGGTCGATTTCACATCCTTTTTACTTTCATCACATATTCCATTTTTTTATTATTATTTTTTGACTATTCGTACTTAATCTTCTTAGTTTATGCCTTTATGGACATTTTAGGATTTTGCATAGTGACTTTCTTTTATCATCATGTTCTTAGTAAGAATGATTGATTGGGCAAGTTTGGGATTCATTCTCACTTTAGGTTTCCCATCTTCTCACTTTATGAATCATACACGAATGAAACATATATGGTGTGACATTTATGTCACAATTAAGAACTGATTGCAGCTTAATGATATTGTTAATTATATTAATAAATCTATAAATAATATTTAATATTAAGATTGTTTTCTATTAATGGATTTTGGTACTATTCTAGCTCAAACTTAGTATATGAGTTTAATAAATAAAAAAGGGGGCAGTAGTGTACCATTTTGGGTTGAGCACCTATTGCAGTGTCAATGTCATCCTCAACCCAAATCCAATGTATTTATTAAATATCCTGGATAGTTTAATCCCATTGTCTTACCTGTTTCAAATCCTTCAATCCAAGAGATCTTGGGAGACTTCGCTAGCCTATTATTCCCACAATTTTCAATTTTCTTTTAATTGAATAAGAATTATAAATCTTTTCCGAACAAGAAATCCAATGTTAATTAGCTTATGTTTGTTTCTAGAACTGTCTTGTTTGGTGGGATTTAAAGCTTGTTCAGATGAAGATACATATATAATTCGATAATCTTATCTGGTTATATGTTGAACTGAATTGGACCACATAAATCCTCATTTACTATTCAGCTCTATGACTCTGCCTAGTGCCATATTCTTTGCTTTAACGTAACTCATCACTTGTTTTCTTGCTCATCTCAACTCATGTTCTCTTTGGCCTTCCTCTTGTTCATGTAACAAATTCAACTGAAATGATGGGATCACTTGTCATTTTAAAACCATTCATTTGTTTTCTTTGCACATTACTGGACCATATTAGAATTTTTTCTTTCATTTTGCCCTATCATCCTCATCTTAACCAATGACACAGCCAGAAAATTATTTAGTGGGGATATACTAAAATCTTAACAAAATTATAGGTATAAAATATAATCAAAAGAATTCAGTGGGGGCTCGGCACATCATAGCTCCGTCCCTGATCTCAACTTGATTCAATTTTTGAACTTTACAACCATATACTTCCTAAGATGGAGGAAAGTTGACCTGAATTTCTCTTTGATTTCATTGGTCTCCTATGATTACACAAGATTATATTCATGATCTTTTTTACAATGACATAAAAGTTAAAAATGTTTTGTTAATTAAGTTAAAATAACAGTTACCACATTATATATCATCAATGAGAATTTTAGTGGCCCATTAGGCGTTGAAAGGCCCACCTGCCGACTCAGGAATATTCCTGTATTACATGGACTCGGAAGGAAAATACAATCTGATACATGTATTTAAATGGGTCAATTTCCATATTATGTCCTTAAATGACATTGTTTTGTTGGATGTTATGATGATCTGGGTTAAGGATTTCCCTTCTCAGGGTGTAACCATCATCATGGACATGCAACCCACCCAGTCTAACCATTTTTTTCCCTTTGCATATTTAACTACAGATGGTGTGGGCATAATGATTATCAGAGTGTGGGCTTTTATTTTGTTTTGCACTTATTAGTTATGTACTGCTCTTACCTACATACATCAGATCTTAACCCTGTGTCTCGCATGGCTGATTGTGCAGTTGGATCAAATGGACCATTCATGTACACAGGCTTCAACAGTGGAAAATGCAGAGGTACAAAATTCTGTGTCCTTTTATAATAGTTTATTGGAATTGTAAATTGTTTATAGATTTTCCTGAGAACAAATCCATTAACTATCCCTGTGAGAATTAATACATAATCAAATCCACCAAGTATTTTCATTCTCGGGTATAAAAACTGAACTTCTTCAGATAAATTCTGTCTTTGTTTTTTTTTTTCCAAGTCTGAGTATCCCTTCAATTGTCAGCTTACATATATCTATTTCTATGATTTATCTTAATTTTTCACATCTGCAGATAAATTTCGACAAAAACCAAGCGGAGCAGGTTTTCATTCGGGAACCTCGAGTGGGCAGCTATTCTGCCCCAATATTTCCAGATAAGAAGTTTGATCCTGCTGAAAGGATTAGAGAACAACCATCAACTGAACGGAAGTTTCACTCTTATGTGCTACCCACTCCAGTTGATTCAAAGAGTTCAATTCCTTCAAGAACAAGTAGCTCCGCTCCCCGCTCAAGGCCCCAGAATTTGTGGCATTCTTCCCCGTTGGAACCTGCAAAACATGATAACTTATCAGCATCTACCATATCAAAGCCACAATCGGTACTCAAAGAGAGCAACAATAACAATTCGTCCATCCAACTGCCCCCTCCTTTGGCCGAGGGACTTTTACTTCCACAGTGTGATACACATAATGTATATGATACTAAAAAATTCAAAAGACAATCGTTCTCTGGTCCATTAACAAGTAAACCATTGTCAACCAAGCCTGTTTTGTCTGCCAGCGGCCCCATTACCTCTACTGGACTTCCTCAACTGGTTTCTGGATTGCCTTCTAGAGGATCAGTTCCTTATCCTGCTTTATCTCCTAAGGTGTCCCCCACTGCTTCACCTCCCCCTGTATCTTCGCCCAGAATAAATGAGCTCCATGAGCTTCCTAGGCCCCCGTGTAGTTTAGCTTCCAAGCCAACAACTTCGTCTGGTTTGATTGGGCACTCAGCCCCATTAGTCTTCAGAAATCAAGAGCTTTCTCCAACAAATAGAAACCCTTCAGTAGCACTAAATGTGGCATCTCCACTTCCAGCTCCTCCATTAACTGTTTGTCGAAGTTTCTCCATACCCTCTAGCAATCAGAGAGCAATAGCATTAAATGTGGCCAAGCCATTAGAAATGCCTCAAATTTCAGAAAAAACTGAAAAAGTGGCTTCTCCTCCACTGACGCCTATTTCCCTTTCGAATGTCAAGCCATTATCAATTGTTTCGGAGGTCTCCTCTCACTCTGGGCAAATCAGAGGTAACTAAGATACTTCTTACAATACTATTTCATATGTTGGCTGATAGATGTTGAAAGATCCCATAATCTCATTTACCCTTAATTTAGGCGCTATAATTCCTCATAGGCTGCTTTTGGAATTTGGGGAAAGAAAAATTTATGAAATGGTTGTTTATGGTGGCACCCTGAAATATTGGGAACTGGGAAAAAGCTTTTGGGCATATGCATTCCATTACCAAATGCAGCCTTAAATCAGTTTTTTTTGTTTGCTGTGAAGTATTGCACCTATCATAGTTTCTAAAGGTCATCGTGATTCTCTTTTGGGCATATGCATTCCATTACCAAATGCAGCCTTAATCTGTTTTTTTTTTGTTTGCTGTGAAGTATTGCACTTATCGTAGTTTCTAAAGGTCATCGTGATTCTCATTTAGAACTGAGAAATTTCTCAACTTGTTCGATGCTCCAAAGGTCCATGAGTGTGTGGCAATTGCATACATTATTGGGTTGGGGGGTGGTGGTGGTTTGATTGTCATCTCCAAAACCCCCAAATGAAGCTACATATTAATATATATTGAAGTATTTATTGATTTATTTTATCCTGCTTATGTTTTTTTTTTTTTTTTTTTCTTTTTTTTTGTTTTAAATGTGAACTTGGTACAGGTGGGAGCTGATTTTCATGTAAATTTAATGAAGCTGTATTATTTTGGTTGGATTTTTTTCTGATCATCTTGATGCTCTGGGTAAAGGTCTGTAAATATGATTTTTCCATGTATTGTTTTGTTTTCCACCGAATCCTTGTTCATCACGGTCATTATTTACAATGAGAATTTAGGTCATCACAATTTTGTTGTTACAATGATCATGGATCGTATCATGTATATCTCTTAAGGAATGAACGTTGCTTCAGTTTTTCTCCACTGAGGAAATTGTGGAAGGAGGAGATGTTACAAATGAATGGTTTTGCATATTCTTGGTTTATAGTGCAAGGCAGAATTGATTTTAAAGTTTGGGCTTTGTTTGGATAAAATTTGGTAGCCAAAGGGCAATATTGTAGTGTTGGAACTTTATGGCACCGTTGATTCTTATGAAGCTACTCTAAAATATAATGTATGGATGGATTCCTTTTGTGCGAATGAATGTTTTTGCAAATCAGTCTCCATAGAGAACAAGTGGTGGTTCCCCTCCCTTATATTTGGTCAATTTTGTTATATAGTTTTGTGTTTTTCGCATGACTGACAAGAATATTGAGAGAATCTCAGTTACATTACTATGTTGGAGATGGAAATGAGACTAGTTGTTTTCATGTTCATTAATGAATTTTGATGTGTGTGAGTCAGCAAAAAAAAAGGTATTGAGTAGGATGGTGAAAGCTGAAATTGATTAGAGTGGAGGGTAATTTTGAGGTGAATGGTAGTAAATGCAAAATAAAAATGAGAGGCAGGTGGTGGAGTTGCTTTTGATGGGGATGGGGATGGGGTGACGCTCATTCCGTGGTGGCAGAATTGTGTTTTAGTAGTAGTAGGAATTAGGTGGATGCCTCCTTTTTACAATAATAAAAAATTGCTACTTAGCCCTTCTAGGCTTACTGGAGTAATAGAATGTAGTAGTAGCATATTGTTGTAATTGGCGGGAGCTTTTAGTCACATGGATCAGTAATGAGCATTGGTATTGGATTGTGCTTCCCACTGGTTTGATCTCCACCAACTATTAATAGGGGGTATTATTAAGTTGATTCTAATATGCCGGATGAGAGAGTGAGTTATTAGGGGGTCCACATGGTGTGCGGATGGATGCTCAATGTCAACATCATATCATCTATCATCTTTTCCGTGTCCTCAACCCTTTGGGATCTCTCTTTTTTTGTTTTTTCCTTCACAAAATGCTAAACAGATTCTAAATATAATAATATATATATATATATATAGGAGTAGATAATGTATATACAGGAGTAGGTCACTCACTTTCTCCTCCTATCTTTGCATCTTCTTTCTCTCTCAAAAACCATTCTCCTTTTTTATAATAAACGCGTGCCATCTCTTTCTTATCTCTCCCTAAGATTGTTCTAGTGTTTGAGAAAGGCAATAATAAAAAAAATATGTAAAGCCAACAGAGACGAGAATTAATACAAATCACACATGTTTCATTGGTTTGCTTGCAATTCACATCTCTCGGGTTATGCCAAATACGTTCAAATTTGTAATGGAGAATCCGAATTTGAACTCTTGGACACTCACCACCTCTCAGTGAGACCATCACAACCTAGTGGGGTCCACATGGTGTCCTTAACGATATGCAGGGCTGGATCGAATTCTCTCCTCACTATTCAATTTGTAATTAGAGAAGAGGAACAATACTTCAACTTAGGCCAAATGCATTGAATGCATCCCACCGAGGATGCATTTCGCCCAACACTGGTATTGTAGTGTATTTTGATTGGGTGAGTGTACAAATAACATGATATGCTGAACTCACTCAATATTTTTTAGGGGGTCGGAAAGAAAATAAGTAGATAAAAAAAATACATTAACAACAATTTTTATTTATTTTTTCATTGGCAAAAAAACACTAACGCACCCATCATGGACTCCAAACTCACCTTCCTATTTGAAAGGTAAGGAGAAATACCACTAAACTGATTCATTGGTCAACTAAAAGTAATCTCATCTTAGAGAAGTAGAGTAGTGAAAGAGGGGTAGCTAGCTAGGTTTCAATGGTGAAAACAAAGGTAAGAAGTGGTTGCTTCCTCCTCCTGGTCCTTATGATAAGATCCGTTGCAAGAGATCCCACTTGAACATGTGGATAACGAGGGTTGAGGAGGAGGGCCCAAGCACTCATCATCATGATCATCAATACTACCACTGCTGTCTTCCTTGCTGAAACCTCTCATCTTTTTAACCTTAACTTTGTTGGTGTTAGAGAGGAGAGTTTTGAGGCCACGATTTTTGTTGGATTTCCTTTTCTTCTGATATATGCAACACACAACCCAATCTTCCTTTTTCATTCTAACTCCACTCTGCATATATATATATATATATTCAGAAACATGATATATACATCAAAATTAACCACATACATACATGTACATGTACATAGATATATATATATATATATATATTGGGTACCTTTGATGATTGATTAGGGGTGGTCTGAGAGGGAGAGGGCACAAGGCGAAACTGATGCATGACCCAAGTGGTTGGAATTGGTTGATTCCCAACTGCTACTGTATGGTAGAAATGCAGCGTTTTCCTCAAACCAACAACTACTAATTGCGCCACTGATTGCTCTTTGTTGATTCCATTTCCAATTCCAATTCGGGAAGATAAAATATGCTTTTCTTTCCCAATAGCCTTCCAATAACCACAACTACTACTACTCATTCTGCTGCATTTGTACTTCATCACATCTTCATCACTCCTCCTTTTACTGAAGAAATACCTCTTCTCCTTTGAATCACCTATATATATTTTTAATAATTAAATACTTCCATCATTAATTTCACAAGTAGTAGCTAGCTATATAATATTAAAGCAATATATAAGTATATATATATATTAATTACCTGGCAAGTCCCAGGGATTGATTTGATAAGCATGATCAAATTCGGGAATGACAGTGGCCGGCAATGGGGCAGAGTAGACCTTCCGCTTCAAATAGTGAACAACCAGTTCTTCATCGGTGGGACGGAATCGAAAGCCGACGGGGAGTTTCATCACTACTCCATTCCCACTACTAACTACAACGTTTCGCCCCTCCATATAACTACTCTATGTCTTCAACAACCTTCAGCCAACACGTCTGTCAATACTGAACCAAAGTTGGGGGGAGAGAGAGAGAGAGAGAGAGAGAGGACTTTGTGAAGTGTTTGGAGGGAAGGGAAGGGATACAAGTAAGTGTGTGTGTGTGTGTGTGTGTGTGTGTGTGTGTGTGTGTGTGTGTGTGTATATAGAAATGAAGGGTGGACTAATATTATTATTAGTGGCGACTGCTTTATTTTGACCAAGGTTTGAACACAAACGTGTAAAACGTATTAAAGCTTAAACTGTACCCGGTCAAGAAGCACAAGGACAAAGCAATGCCACTTTCACTTGCATTTGCCTAATTTCAAGGCCTGTGAATTTGTTAACACACAATAACCCTCTACATATTATTTTCCAAACAAGCAGCAATTGCTTCTGTTTTCTTAAAGCACGTGTGCCGATTCCATAAGACATGGATTGTCATAAATTTTTTAATTAATTAGTTAAATAAAAAAATGCCTTTGGAGTTTCTTCTCTCCTTTCAGACATTATTTAGGATGACAAGAATTTTCAATAACCTATTAATAAATTTAGGTTTTGACTACAAGCGGAACCTCAAAGAACTCGATGATACTATCTAATAAATAAATAATAATAACAATAATAATTTTTTAGGTTGGTCCAAATGATACTAAATCTAAATTTTAAGTAAACCTACATACCCACTATATATATTATGTTTTTTTTTATTGAGATTTGAACATTATATACACATATAATTGTAATCCACCTTAGTTTAATGCATTTATTTAAAACGGAGCTCAATGGATCAGGTTTGGATTTAAAATTTGAATTACATGTTTGATACCTTGAATTGAATTTGAATTAATCTTTAACCTGCTCATTCATTCATATTGTAAAGAAGGAGGTCAAACGTGTCACTGAAAAGAAAATCATGAAGAGTATTGTTTTCCTTATCAAATGAGCTGAGATGTTGAAAAAAAAAAAAAAAAAAGAAAAAAAAAAAGAGAGCTGAGATGTGATATTGAAGATATATGTATTAATTTCAAATTAAAATAGGGTTTGTTCCCAACAGAATTTTTAGTCAAATATGTCACTAAAAAGAAAATCATGTCCGTGGGATAAGCGTGTTTATTTGTTGTGGTGTGATAAATATAGTGTCCTGTCAAACAATACAAACATTTGAGGCACGTTGACTGGGTGGGTTACTACTTCAACGACTAAAGTTTTCAACTTTTGAAAAACACGACTTCTTCTATGTGTGCGTGTTTGAACAGTCTATAAACATGCTACAATTTTAAACCTCTCATCATCAACTTCAATTAATTGAGGATTTTAATGTCCGTTTGTGTGACTTTGAAAGTGACAATTAATGTGATCAACTCACCATTTCTCCTTTTTTTTACCATTATCATCCCATCCTTTTCTTTTTGTTTCGAGTGTGAAATTTTGTTTTATTACTTTTCACTGGGTCAACCTGAATTTAACCATGCGGAATTTGATTCTTTTTTAATTATAAAGACTTTGATATCAAACCATTTGAATTTCTTAAAATCAAGCTCTAACAAAATTCTGTTGGTCTCAGACTGGGGTATTTAAGGATCTATATGATTTATTACTCACAAAATAATTTTTAAGAATTTAAAAACTTATTTTAAGATAATTTTTAAAAAGAGTTATATGAAAACAATCATTTTTGTAATGACTTCTTAAAAAACAATTCTCATAAACTATTAACTAGTAAACATGTAGTTTTTGTAGAGTTTTTTTATTTTCAATTTTTAAAAAATTAAAACTATTTTAGAAAACTAAATCAAGTAGGACTTAAGAATTTATTGATTCTGTTTTCAAAAAATAATTCTAAAAAATTAAAATTTAAGAGTGACTAATGTTTATATGGCCGAAAGAAAATCCCACTTCAACAGTTCAACCATCCACTGAGTGAGGAGCGTTCATTTGAAATTGTTCTTTCAATTTCATTACTCTTTGAGTTTAAATTATAAAAGGCAATTATATAAAAATATGTATTTTTTAAATTAAATTTTCAAAGAACATATTTTCAAATTTGATAACCAAAAGTTTCTATATCCATAAAGTGTTCTATTTTCAGTTATCCAAAGACCAAAAAATAGTCTTGAAAAACTAAACCAAACAAAACAAGGACAAAATTCGATTGCAGCTTCATTATTTTGTACAAGGTTGATTATCAAACTTGTTATGATGTATGACAAAAATATATATATATTTGTGGATTTATCTTAACTTTTCTTTTTCTTTATGGTTGTGGAATTATTATTTTGAGGTGATTGTCTAAAAAGACGATAGTGCACAAGATTTCATTTGCTTGTCATACCAGTAGAATTATCATTAATGTTAAAGGTTTCAGTATCTTATAATTTTTAAGCAAATAGTCCATTGGTTCTAAAATAAAAAAAAAAAAAAAAATTAAAAAAGAAAAGAAAATTGTGACGGGTTCTTGTCAACCCAAAAGCAACCAAAACTTCTCATCGTGAGCTCAAAGATTTAACTGAAGGCTGAACTCATTAATGGTTGGGTTGGAGTGGACATGGCCAGATGGTTTCATAATTTGCATTTTTTTTTCCTTCTTGAGACTTCACAATTTTCCATTATCAAGAAAGATTGATAATTTTAATGACTCTCCAGTCTCCAATGATCGAGGATATTAGGTGTAAATACTTTTGAGAAATTGTATATTTTCTTTTTTGGAAAGTAAATGAGACACCCAGTAGGCTACAAGCTTACAACGCCTTTGGTTCACAATTTGAATTAAAACCTGCTTAAATCTAATTCATCCAATCCATCAAAAAAATTACACCGTTAGGAAAGGGTAGCTATGCCATTTTACTTGTAAGTTCTAGCGTATTGGTCCTGATTGGGTACTGGGCTGGGCCGAAGCCCGTCAAATATGAGTTGGGCAAGTATTTGAAGGTGGTTTTCTGTGAACAGTGTGGCACATATCCTGTGATTCCGTCATTAGTGTTCCTGACTCCTCAGTCTTTGGTGTGAGAAAGGAGGACTTGGTGTGACAAAGGAGGACTTGAAGCCTCACCTTCCACTTTAAGAGAGAGAGAGAGAGAGAGAGACAGACAGACAGACAGGCGTAGACAAATAGAAACATCAAAAACTAGCCCTATGTATGTATCCAAGATCTATTTACACCAGAATACCAGTTTGACAATCAAAACCTATCTCAGAATTTGTATCAAACCCATAAAAATTGTGTATGTTCAATATCATGTACCCTAAAAAATATATTGAGAAAGTCGATTCCAGAAGATTTTACAAAATTACAAAACACATTTATCATTGATAGAAAAGAGACGTTTTGGACACTTTCTATTTCATAACACTGAAAGGATACGTTTTGGACGGACCATAGACTACAGTTGGCTCCCATAACACTGTAACTCGGACTACTGTATGTCCCATAACATTATGCCTCCCATGACATGCCCCAGAAACCAACTGCTCAATAACTTCCTCTACTCTTCCCATCTATTCTTCAATTCAATGGAAACAAGGTACACAATTAGCATATATTAGCCACAAACACTACCCACAATTCTGTCTTGGGCAACCAATGGCATTTTGTACAATATTTTTCCATAAGCAAATATTGCTAAGCTGGCAAAAATAGAAAACCTAAAAGAAGAATTTTAGGAAATTCTGAAGAGAATCCTATTGAACTATGTACGACAGTATTGGTTCATAAATGGAGGACCAACAGTATTGTAATGTGAAGAGATGGGGAATGACAAGTGCATATGTATGACAGTCTAGAAGACTTCTGCTACCTCCACGTTTAAAATTTGACAACATAAAAGGGAAATATTTGCAAATTCTCTAGTATAATTGCAAGTGCATCCTGGTTATAGCTGTATCAGTTCTGGTATAAGCTTCAACAGAAATGACAGCTCCTTTTGTGAGAAATTTGGCTTTGTTTCAACTTGAACCCGACCCTCTTCCTCTGACAATATATCTCCTTCACCGTCTCCTGATGGCTTGATCATATCTTTAACAGCCTCTGTGATTTCTTGAACCAAATCAACAATCACTCCCTCAACCCCCATTAGATGTTGCAAGTAGACTGCTTCTGGCACGTTACTGTGTCATGATTTTCACAATCAGTATCTATATATATATATATTATCTTCGCAAGAAACACACTCACACACCCACTTGCCCCTATGGGACTTGAAACCCTGACCTTCTATTTTGGAAAGCAAGAAAGTACCACAACACTACAGCCTTTGCTTGTTTCACAATCAGTATTAAGTACAATAAATTTAACAATTCTCTCCTCTCTTTCTTTCATTTTATTTTTCTGGTAACTGAAAAAAATAACAATCCAAACGGGAATTTTATAAGTAATTATACCATTCAAAAGGAAGAATAATGTACAATTAGTAAAGTCAGAAAATTGAAGGGTTAGGTTGACCAACTTGGCCATGACCAAATCAATTGAGGTGCAATATGAAAGTCTCTAGGATTGACAAGGTCCTCTAGCTGTAACCACTAATTGTTATAACTTGATCTTAAAAGTCAAAAATCTAAAAAAAATAAAAATTAAAAAAAAAATCCCAAGTCATATAATTCAGCTGCTATGACAGGAAATTAAAAAACTTACTTCAATTTGCCAAATGTCATGAGTGAGAGCTTAGACTCTTTGATCTTGGTTACTGCTCCTGGATTTCTTAAGAGCCCTCTAACCTCTGATACAATCCCTTGCAAACCACCCTCTAAGCACAACTTTATGGCAGCCTCCAGGGAGTTCCTTCTCACATCATCGTATATTTCAGATCCTCCATTTGTAAGAAAGAAGACCTGGTTGCAATCATTAACAAATACCATCTGGGCTTAATACTTTTTTCAGTTTTGTTAGTGGAGAAAATAAAGGGAACAAAATATAAAGCATGGAATGTAAATTTTTCCAGTTCTGGAGAGTTCACTTACAGGGTAGGTGCCCTGCAGTTTTTTGACAAGGAGTGCTGCATCGGGTTGAAAGGTTGAGAAAATGATGGGCCTCTCTTTGGCGTAATCAAACACCACCTAAGTTACAAATTTCAAAAACTTAACAACAAAACAATTAATAAAGAAAAAGGAAATTTAGCTAATAAAGATAGACTTTCCGTTACCTGCAAGATGGTCCGAAGAACATGGGTTAGATGTTCTTGTTGATACACAATGTGGTCATCAAACTTCAACTCAATGTTAAAGCCCAAAGAAGGGTTGATCTTCTGAAATGCTTCTTGAAGAGTACAGAGGGAGTCATCAGTCTCGACGTTCCAGCTTACAATCTTTCCGTCCTTTGTTTTTCTTAAGAGAGACTTTCCCATCTTACTGGCCTCTCTTTGGGGGCCATAGCAAAGGAACTCAGATAGACACAGTTCTGTCACTCTCTTCTCTATTATAGTACCCTAAAATTTACAGTTCCAAATGAGATGGATTAAAAAAAGAAAAGAAAAAAGCAAAGACACTGAAATGAAAGAGAGTGGGAATAGCTTACATTTTCTTCAGAGAGAATGAAGTTGTCATGGAAAATGACCGGGCAGTCATCTTTTATCACCTACAAAAATTACATTTGTTTTCACATTCCCGTCTAAGTCTCTTGTCTCAACTCCATATATACTTTTTTTTGTTTTTGTTTTCAAGCTATGAGTGTAATAATAAAAGCCCCAAAAGGAGAAAAAGAAAAGAAAAGAAAAGCTAATCAGTACCTTTATGATGAAACTCAGTAAGAACGGAACAAAAGGAAAAAAAGAAAAAGAAAGAGTGATCCCTTGTTTATGTGGAATTCAGTGAAAATTATAAAATTACTCATAAGCCCATACATCATCTTTGATTCAATTAGGCAACTGAAGGTATAACAAAGTTCATCTCCTACAAGCAACTAACCCACTCTAGATTAAAGTTCATTTATAATTCTATATATCTGGGAAAAGTAGGAACAATTCTGTCCTTCTGTGTTTCTCTTAGTAACTTTGGATGCAATTAATTTGATACCTAATTACTATTATTAGGGGGACTTTCATAAAAGAACAATAAAAAGACTCGAATATACACTGCCATGCGGCCATGCCCTTGTTGCTAAAGGAATATATTACTACCTCCGTCTCTTTTCAATTATTTGCCTCGTAAACTGACAATTAAAAAGGGACGGAGTAGCATTTTTTAAAAGCAATACAACAAACAAAGAGTGATTCTACTCGACCACGCTGCTCGGCCAGCACCCCTCTTACAGGGTTAAATCTATTCTGTAAGATTGGCTCGCCGGAATTACAGTGCCATTGAAACCCTAGAGCTAACGGCCACTAACTGGTGCGGGTGTGGGGACCGACTGATAGGGTTTGCGGGTTTAGGCCTCTTTTGTATCTAGCTTTGTTCAGCCCAAGTTGGGCATTTTTTTTTTTTTTTTTTTTTTTTTTTTTTTTTTTTAATTTTTAAGGCCTGTGGGACAGGGCAATGGGCCGGTAGTCACGGACAAATTTTAATGTTTATAACCGGAAATACCAAGAATGAAAATAGTAGCAGCTTTTTAAAAAATCAATATAGGGGACGAGCACGAAGCGTATTGACGGCCAAACGTGACCGTTAATTATTAGGAGCACCAACCATTTAACTATGTTTTGTAATTATAGATGAAAAGGATGATGATTAACCATTTAACTATGTTTTGTAATTATAGATGAAAAGGATGATGATTATTGGTAACGAATGTGATGGGTGGGAATGGAAGAATGAATTGATATTTTTACCTGAACGTCAAACTCAATGAAATCAAGGGCGAAATTTGAGGCAGTTTTAAAGGACAGAATAGAATTCTCTTTAACGGCCTTCATTCTCCGATCCGAAGATTGCAACATGTTCATACCATTTCCTCTGTGTCCAATCACTGCAAATTTCGGAATTCTGGACCCACCTCTACCACCATCAATCCCTGCTAATTAATTTCGCAACCATTCAAATTCAACACAATATGTGTGTGTGTGTGTGTGTGTGTGTGTGTGTTTTCATGGTCCCGATCAATAATGTAATTAATGGAGAAACATCAAAAGAATGTAAAAGTATTTGTTACCTCTAGAGAAAGTGAAAGAGGGTGAGTGGAGTGCGAAGGAGGCGTTTTCATGGACCTGATCAAGATTGGGAACGTCGGACACAAGAACGGCCTTTAGAGCCATTTGTAAGAGAAGAGAGATGGAGGAGGAGGATACAATGGGAATATTAAAACTTGTTGGGACAAAAGGCCTTGGCGCTGGCAGGGGTATTTAAGGACTGGGAAGATCCCATTAATCAAATGGAACGGCTCTCCGCGTAGAATATTCGGATATTCTTTTCTTCGTTCCAAATTTTATCACAAATGTCGACGAACGTCGTCTATCTATTCCGTCTATTTTTAGCGGAGTAGTTACACGGCTGTTAAGAAAATTGGTAGTGGATGGATCAGTCATTATTTATCACAATTCTCTTTTTCTAGAACTGGTTTAGTATGCGAAAATTAAGTGGGCTTGGCCATTGACCAAGATCACCTGAACAAAGCAGGTGATGGGAGCCGTTGGATCCCCAACTTTTGGACTTGGGGGTCAACACAAACAGTGGCTGCCACCTAATAACTATATTATCCTTTTAGCTATAATTTCACGTGCTTCACGCTTACTATTCATAAGTGGCTGATGATGTGGATCCACGATGGTGGGAAATATTGTTTATAGTTTGTTACACCTACTTTGCTAAATATATACAAATTGGTAGATGAAATAGAGGGCCATTACAAAATATATCTGTCTTTAAAGCAAAAAGTTTTAGTACGAAATGGTTTCATAGAAAGTTCATACATCAACCCAACAATTTTCTGTAAATATATTAGATTTAACCGTCTTCATTGGTTTATTTAATAATAAGTTAAAGCTTTTGTTACCTGTTATAATTTAGTGATACATTTTTTTTTTTTTTTTTGTCTAAATCGATGATTCATATAATTCATATATAGGAGCGGAGATGATGGAAGCAAAATAATTGTATGGCATAAATATATACTTACCTGCTTTGGTACACTTACAGTCCAAGATGATCTATATATAACCCAAACAAACATTTCTCATCTTATTGCTTTGAGCTTAATTTCTTCGATAAAGTGTAACAATGTTTAGTAATATGCATGTGGGATGCTCCTTTTTCACATCAACAATTGAGTGCCTTAAAATTGAGCAAATCAGAGGACTTGTTTGTGCTGTTTCTGTGGAGGAGTGGGACACCGTCTCGTTTTATCTCATTTGAGAAACACGGATCACATCCACATCCTAACCAGGGACAGGGTTATCTATTCCTTATAAAAGTTTTTCTCACCATTTAAATCTCCTGACTCTTCTTCTTCCGTATGGAATCAGGTCGTAGTTTGGTATATATATATATAGCATTAATACATTTTAATTCCGTATAATATAACTCAGAATTAAGTCTGCTGCTCCACCGATCGATGTGGACCGCACTTTGTAAAGGAGTTTTATTGGACTGATTGACGGGTCAATTTGTGAGGCCACTGGTGCTAAAATTGCAACATTTAGCCTCAAAAGTCATTTTACGTGCCTGGCTTTAACATGGAAGCACGTTAGGTGGCCCATATCATTTTACTTTTATTTTATTTTATTTTTTGTTTTTCCCAGTTGGTAAGGAACTCACACACACGATCTTCACTAAAGTTCGAATTCCTGACTTTCCTTTAAAAAATAGAGGCATTGTACCGTTATGTCACAAGCCTATTGATTATCATTTTACTTTTCATAAATCATGAATGTCTCATTTCTCACTATCTGCTTCTCTCTTGATTAATAAGATATAGCATTATATAGCTTACTCATTCAACCAAAAAAAAAAAAAAAAATATATATATATATATATATATATATATATATAGCATTATATACAAGGGGTGGATTCAGCATTTCTGAATGGGGTGGGTTAACTTTGGATTGGACTAATTTGAGGTGGGCTACCATTACTTAATTTTTTTTTTTTTGGGTGGGCTGAAGCCCACTCTCGCCCACCCCTAAATCCACCTTTGATTATGTATATGCAATGGCAAGGAAAATAAAATAAGCATGTGATCTAATGGAACTTTTCCATTTGTAAGGCCTTTTAAAACATCAAGAATGAAGATGTTGTTTGGATTAAGCGAGCTGTTTAGCTATACGCCCCCTTCCCTCCAAAAAATATATATGTTAATATTAAAAATCAGGACATGAGTACGACATAATAGAGTTTGGTGATATGACAAATCTCAAAAAGCCGCTCCTAGTAATCAACTAATTGCATTTGTGAAGAAGCGTGTTGCGTGTTTTAGTCGCTGATCGATTGTTACCAGTCTGTGTTGCGGGATTGTTACTATTGGGTCATCACGGATTTTGGTTGCTTGGGGTTGGGGATATCCAGGTAGGGGCCGAACCTATGACCTTCTGCTTTGGAAACAAAAGGTTCAGCTCATAAAGCTCAAGGCTCCTAACCCTGCTAAAGGGTCGAGACAACCGAGCCAAACGAAAATCCCTCAAAAAAGGAATGGTTCCAAGCCCAATGGCATGTGATGTTTCTGTTTTTAACTATTTTTTATTTTTTTGGAATTTTCTGATTTTTCAGCGGCATTTTCGTCTTTTCTCGTTTTGCGTACTAGACACCGTAGAGTGTGTCGGTTGTGTCCGAGAGTTGGTTGGGGCATTTCATGGAGTTCAGGACTCTTTGAAATGTAAGTGTTATCATTTCAGTATTTTTCAGTTTTCCGGACCGGACAGTCTTGGGTGAAACCGTTACCTGAGTTGTTGTGTACGGGAGTTATGTCTCAGGTCATTTGCATACCATGCATTATTATTTTTGTACCTAAGTAAATTATTTAAGTGCTAAAGTGTGTGGCTACGATATAATTGGAGCATATATATATATTTATTGGTGGTAGAAATTAAGAAGAAAAGAAAAGAGAAAATATATATATATATATATTTTTAAGTGGGGCCCACCATCTACTTTAATGGTGAGGCTAAGAGACCACATGGGTCTCATTCTCTCTCACTCTCCCGGCCATCTCTCTCTTATCTCCTCTCATTTCCTTTTCATTTTTCATTTTTCTTGAGGCTTTGATTTTCTCTTCCATTTTTCGGCTAATCGGTCTGGTTTCCGGTCTAGGTTCCTTGACGAAAAACGTTCCTCTCATCGTTCTCTATCACATAGTCAAAGAGTTTATTTTTCAGAGGATCGGTGATTATTTTATGAATTTTTGAACATTTTGGATCTAAGGCTTCGGATGGGGTTTTGGGCCACTTAGAGTCGGATGGCGGTGCTGGCCCTTTGGAGCAGTAGAATCTCCTCGTCGACGGCTACGTTTTCAAGGAACAGTTTTCCGTTCCGCCGCTGTTGACCGGCGGTTGACCGCGTTGACCGGCGTTGACTTTTTCGGGCGGAGATGTATTTTGGCTACTTTTGAGGTAGGGATGCTCTAATTCACAATTTCTTAGGTTCTATGTGAATTTTTCCATTTTAAATTGACTATAAGTATGTTTAATTTCAATTATTTTGGCTATGTGATTATTGTTGATTATATGTAAAGTGGTGGACGTATGCTATGTGATAAATGAGTTTGTAAATTTAATTACATCCTTATAGTGAAGAAGCATGCATAGAAATGACAAATTGTTTACTTTATGTATTTCAATTGCCATGGAAAATTGATGTCATAATCGTAGAAATAAATGTTTAAAATATTCTTTTACAAGTTGTGATTATGATATGGGTAAAATGTATGGAATATTGTTGTTGAATTTGGCATTTGGAATCATGAAGCATTTATACATCCATTGGGAAAGAAAAAGGGGAAAAGTATATTAAAAAAAAAAAAAACCAATGTAATTGTTTTGGGGAAAAGTTTTTGAAAAGTGTTTGTGAAAACCCGGACGCCTAGGAGGGGCCTAGTGGTCCGTGGTGTTAGTGTGGTCTAGAGAGGGGACTAGGGAGAGACCCTAGTGTGGTTGAGCTAACCAGGCCGGATGCGACGCCTTGGAGGTGCCTTGTGGTCGTGGATGGTTAGCCAATCCCCCTTTCGTGACGCCTTGGAGGTGCCTTGGGTCGGATTACACTAACGGTTTGGAAGTTGAAACGGTATGGTTTCGGAAATGGGGAGTAACATTGCATGGCATGGCACATCATTGGTATACGTGGTGCATTTGGTAATTGGTTGAGATATGTATGTTTGTTGATGATACAGTGGTTTTACTTGACTCCCGAAATATGATCCCGTTCTCTTGCTTTCTATTCTCTATGTGGATTCACGGGGTCATAAGAGGTGTGTCTTAGACACTTCCTACTGAGCGTTTAGCTCACCCCATTATTTTAACATTTTTCAGGTCACGGGAAGGAAATGGCGGACGGCGTTCCTCTACAGGTCTTGATGGGTTAATAGATTGTTTGACCTATTTTGTAGCTATGACCTCATATTATTATTATTATTACTAGTATCATTATCATTATTATGTATTGACATAAAAAAGGACGGTAGTGCCCTTAGTTGACCTCGGGTTCGGATAAGGACCCGATTAGCGATTCAGACCCTCGGGTTCGGGTCGTTACAAATTTGGTATCAGAGCAATGGTTCGAATACCATTAGGACGACGGGTAGAAGCCTACCTAGGGTTGTGTGGAAAGTCATTTGTATCATTTATGTGGTTATTTGCTAAAGTGTTTTGTTAATTAAAAAGTATGCTTAACTATCTATTTGTTTACATGTCTATGTGCTTACAGTTTTGAAAGACATGCTTCCTTACTATGTGTTTGCACGTTTATATGTTTATATGCTAAAGTTTATGTTACATAGCCATGTACAAGGAATAGTTAGATGATTTAACCGTGTAAATGAAATGTGAAAGAAAAGGAAAGCATGTTGATTGTGTATGAGGAGTATGGTGATGAAAATGGTAGGCATGGTGTGTGCAGTTCTAAATTAAATGCTAATGTGACAAGTAATAAACATGGTATATGCAAACATGTTTTGTGTAGCATTGTGGGTTTCATTCATTTTGTGTGTGTGTGTGTGTGTATATATATATATATATATATGTCTATATTCTTATGTGATTATACGGTTAAACATTTGGATGGTTGCTAGTACAGTAGAGTACTCGTTGCGGCATAGATGGTTATGTGGGTTTTGACCTGAGTAGGCTAGGAGCTCGGTTGCTCTAGGGTTGTTTGGGTATCGTTCTTGTCGAACTAA